TAAGAAGGATTATTTGCAACCTAATTCCATCAACACATATTAAGGTTACAACCGTATGATATATAGATGAATGTCATAGCGCATTAGTGTGACACATTAGTAGAAATTTATGGTCTTGCTTAAGTAATTCTTCGCTTTTAAGTCTAAGGCAGATTCAAGGTCATCCCAAATGCATGATCGCTTAAGCGATTTATGGTCTTGCTTAAGCAATTCTTCACTTTTAGGCTTGGTCACTTAAGCGATCAAGTCTAAGGCAGATTCAAGATCATCCCAAATGCACGATCGCTTTAGCGATTTATGGTCTCGCTTAAGTGATTCTTGGCTTTTAGCATTAGTCGCTTAAACGATCAAGTCCAAGGCAGAATCAAAATCATCTCAAACGCACGATCACTTAAGTGATTGAGTGTCTTGCTTAAGCAATCATGTATAGAAAACCCTTGATCGCTTAAGTGATATATATAGTCGCCTAAGCAATCATAGGCAACACTTATTTTTTCCAGCTTTTCTCCTGAATTTTGACAACAAAATCACCAACACATATTAATTCCATCTTTTATCCTAAATTTGACAACGTAATTGCATCAACATATTAATGTCATTTAACAAGAATACTAAATAAATTTAAACTCAAAAGAGAGAAAAAATATTGAATTGCTTTTGTACAAATTTGAAATGTGTTAATTACATTAAATTACAACATTATATACAACAAATAAATGTCCTATATACACCCAAAATAAAAGCAATAGTGGCAGCCTCCATCTTCCCTCTTCATCATTCTCTTCAGCCACTTCCCCATCCTCCACAATTATTCAGCACCCCTTCAGCATCAACAGCAACCTCTTCGTCTTCTTCTACAACACCCTTTCCAACATTATCCAGCCTTGGCCATAAAGCATACATAACACCACAACCCAAGTATCAATAGCGTGACGCCTAACAATACCAGCTGATCTAATTCAAGCCAATCCAATTATCCAATTATTTAAGACAACCCAATAAGAAATGCATCTCACATAAACTATAAAACTCTAAGTCCAACTTCCGTATCTTTTGATGACAACATCAACAATGACTTGGATTGGGTTCTGATCCATCAAAAGGGATCCATATGCCCATGGAAGCACTCAACAGCCAAGCGCTCGTGAAAATTGCTCATTGTTTCACCATTCTACCTATCCACTGGGGTGTTAGTCATGTTGAACTCAATAAATTTTAGTACATATACCCCATAATCAACACTACAATAGGAGGTTGACATTAGCATTAGAACCATCTTATAGAACAATTATATTATGTAAGTTTTATACAAAATTTACCTCAAATCATTTATCGGGATGGGAACGTGCTTAAGTGGCCACTTTCCTGTCAGTAGTTCATCACCCAAGTGTTGAAACATCCGGCTGTCGCGCAATAGCCACGAGAACAATATACACAACAGCTGCAACTCCATCTCCAGCTGCCTCTCTCGACAAATACTCAGACTGCAATCAAGGATTTGCAGCAAGCCCTCCTCTAGTACCCAAACGATGGCTATCCAATGCATATCATTGATGTTCATGATGCAGTATACTCTTTTAACATTTGTCCAAATGTTGCCATATTTGGGCTTTTCCCCTCGTACATACTACATCATCCTCTTATCAAACTAAAAATCATCAAGGGCACTGTCGAGGTCATCTGTGGCCAATCTTTTATACTTGCCTCCCTTTATTGCACCTCCACCATTGGCTTTTTTCATTAAAGTGTCATATGTAGTTATTAGCCTTTTGGCCAAAGGCCACATCGGTGATGGCACAATGTGGATGCAAAATATCACCATTACTTCTCTATCGTAGCCTCATAAGTGTCAATACCTCATCAATGTGTTGCATCAAATAAAAACAACATGATAAGTATACAATACCTCATGGAAAACATAAGCAAAAATAAAGAAAAATAAGGGAAAATAACTCACCGAGTCATCGAGCCACCTGCCCATTGTCAACATCTTTTCAAACCACTTCCAAGGATAATCTCTGGTCATGCACTTCACACGCCCATCACTTCCAGAATCATTGTAGTAGGCATAGAAGAGTTTTTTCTTTCCTCATCTATTGGCCTATACAAATCAACATTTAACTCCTCCGTTTTCACTTGCCCACTTCCTTCGCCTTCCTTCTCACCCTCCTCCATTTTCACTTCCCCACGTCTTTCACATCTTGCCTCATCCTCCTCTATTTTCAATTCCCCACTTCCTCTACCTTCCTCCTTACCCTCCTCCATTTTTGCTTCTCCACTTTCACGAACTTCCTTATTTTTTTCTTCGTTTTCTTCTTCTTTCCATACTTTATTGCCATGTAAGGAGATTTTACGTGCTTACTCTTTCAACTCTCTTTTTTATGCTCAGGTTGCACTTTAACTACTTTCAATACCGTACTAACTTCCTCCTCTACCCTACCAACTTTCTCTGCCACCCTATCAACTTTCTCCTCCGCCCTTTTCATTCGCTCTTCCATCTTCTCAAACCTTTCATAAACGGTTGTTGTAAAACTCTTAAACAAACCATTTATGAGGTCAACCACCTTATTCTCCCGACCCTGACGCATCGGCAAAGTGGTACTTGTTGTACTGGCTTGCCAATTGGGTGGAGGCGTATGAACCTCTTCATCATTTTCCTCCTCCCTCCCACTGATTGGAGCTTCATCATCCTTGATGTCAACAACATTCTCATGCAGTGGCCCTGCAACTGCACTCACATGCGTGACCCCTTCTAGGTCCTACATTAGGATATATTCCTTCCATTTGCTGCATCATCCAATGCTCTGAACAATGTAACATACTCCTGTCCCGCTCCACCCCTAGTAAGGGTGAGGAAGGGACGGACGACTCCCTACAATAAGAAAAAAAATCAATCAAATTTAAGCCACATTTAAAGCAAGTGCATATTCAAAAGATTAATCCTTTAATCTTACCCGAGCCGCTAGAATTTCCATGTCTATTTTGTTGTAATCCCAATGGGTATACTTCTCGATGTGCCATCTCAACATCTTAGGAAATTGCAGTCGCTCATCCGAAGTCTTTTTCCTTCCCCTCACCTTAGTCAAGACAGGGACGACCTCATATATCAAAGCCTACATTGTAAAAAAACAGTCTATATTAGAATTAAAACACATATAATACACAAAATATAACAAAAAGCTATTAATATTTACCTGCATTGCCCATGGGAATCCAAACAAATTGTACATGCTCGGTCTTTTCTCTCCTCGACAGATTGGCGATGCTTTATCACCATGTTTTTTTCATGCAAGGACTACATGGTTAACTGAAATGATACCCGTCCCTACGAATAAGCATTAAAAAAGTCCATGTTGCTTGCAAACTTCACCCAATCCATATTAACGACTTTTGTTGAGTTAGAAGCTATTAGGATCGAATGCACGACCATACCAGGCACATCTTAAACCTCTCTGAAGAGGTATACCCACCTTCTCCTAACCTTTCCTCTAAATCACGTCCCGTAATAGACGCCTTCCCCCCCCCCCCCCCCCCCCCCCCCCCAACAAAAAAAAACCTTTTTAGCTAAGTTATCGGCTGCCCTACTCTTCGTTATTCTCTCTTGCTCTTCCACATCTGGAAATACCCCACATCTTAAGCCTGTCATTAGGGCATATTTCATCATCCCAAAACGTAGCAGCTTCCCGTCCACCACGAACCACATTTCTTTCTTTCTTTTTTTTTTTTTTTTTTTTGGCTTTTAAATGAATGTAGCAACATATAATCACTCCCTACTCCCAAAACGCCTTTTTCCAATTTTCTCTGATGTCTGCAAAATGACCGAAACAACGCTCTTTGAATTGGTCCATACCCTTCTTTTGTTCCTTTACAATCTCCATTATTCTCATAAAAACTTGCCAACTCAACCTAACTGTGACCCTTACAGGGAAGTATGGTACCTTATCGCTTATAACGTCCAACCCATAATCTTTATAATTTACGCTTCAGAAAATCTACACAATCGATATAAACTAAATATCAGCCAAAAAAAAAAAAAAAAAAAAACCCAAAACCAAAACCAAAACAACCAATAGGTTGCCAATTTGGGGGATATGGGCTTCGAGGGCATTGGGGAGTAGGTGTTTTTGGCTTCGAGAGGACCGGGGAAGCCAATACGAGCCCTATAGAGGCTGTAGTGGCAAGTTCCATGACTGGAGATGGCTGAGGATGGCAGGAGGTGGCGAAATAGGTATGCAGGGTAGCCCTCTAGCCCCCCTATTCTGCCATCTCTAACCCTCCAACCTCCAACAAACAACCTCCCAACAGCCTCCCTTGCCTTCCCCTATCCTTTGAAACCCAAACAAAGCCACTCCCCCGATGTCCGCCAACTACTCGACAAAACGCCACAACCACTGTAACAATAAAACCAACTACATATCCCCTAAATTCGCACAAACCCATCAAATTCAAAACCACCAATAAAAAACGTACCCTTTTCTCACCGGCGTCCTCCTCCTCGCCTTAATTCTCGTCGGCGTCCTCCTCTTCAGAACCATTTTCTGATTCTTCTCTCTGTTCTTGTGCCACTGTTGTCTCTTCTGCCTCTGGACCACCTTGACTCATCGGATGATCCACCGGAGCGTTTTCTTAGACAACCTTTGAAGAGCCGCCGCCGCTGAAGACTAGGATTTGGAGTGAGGTTGGATTTTCCTCCTCTTTGTGAATATTAGCCATGATTTTGTGTAACAAATCTTTAGGATCGAATATTGGTCGAAAATATGGAACTTTTATCGTCTAAAATCTCAAAGAAATCGAAGGTGTTTCGTCGGTCCTTTTTTGGATATTTTGCTCGATTAGGTGATTTTGAAGGGAGGAGGTCGTTTTTAATTTTCAAAATTTAAACAAACTTCCATTAATTATCTATTACCCATATATGTTTAAATCTTTTCAGTTTAACCCGTTTTACATGTTTAATAAATCTTTACTGTGTCACGTCAGTTTTTCTAACTTAAAGAAAATTGCACTGGCGAGTTAAATTTTCTCGAGGATCTGGTCACCATTTTCTTCTTCCTCCTTCGATTTTCAGCTCAAACTAAATCTTCCCCAATCTATTATTTCGGAAATTAGTCTCAATCTCTAGGGTTTTCTTCAATCCACGTGTCGAAATGCTAGGTGGGTTGTACGGAGACCTCCCTCCACCCTCCGATGACGACAAACCAACCACCACCACCTCCAACGTCTGGTCCACCACCGCCAAGATGGCGCCCCCCACTCTCCGAAAACCATCCTCAATTTTCGCGCCTCCACAAACCATCCTCAAATCCCAACCCAAACCCAAAACCCTAAATCCCCTGCCCAAACCCCAAAACTCCCCAGTAATCCTCCCGTCCCCCGCCGATGCCACGTCATCCCCCCCTCAACCGGCCCTCGTTGGCGTAACATCCACCGTCATCGAAGAGTACGACCCTGCCCGACCCAACGATTACGAAGATTACAGAAGAGAACGAAAGAGAAAACAAATGGAAGCCGAAATGAGGAGGGAATTGGAGAGAAGAAGGCAAGAAGAAGAAGAAAGAGAGAGGGAGAGAAAAGAGAGAGAGGAGAGGGAGCGAGAACGGGAGCGGGAGCGAGAGCAGGATTTATCTTCGAGGGTGAATATATCGGGAGAGGAAGCATGGAAGAGACGCGCGGCGATGAGCGGTGGGGGAGGAGGGGTGCCGAGGTCGCCGTCCCCTCCGGGTAATGCGGAGGGAGGTGGGTTTAGGATTGGGAAGTCGGAGACGAGCGGGTTGGGATTGGGGGCGGGTGGGCAAATGACGGCGGCGCAGAGGATGATGGCGAGAATGGGGTGGAAGGAGGGGCAAGGGCTTGGAAAACAGGAGCAGGGAATCACGACGCCATTGATGGCGAAAAAGACTGATAGGAGAGCAGGGGTTATTGTGAATGCCAGTGAGAACAAAGCGGAGAAGAAGGTTAAGAGTGTCAACCTCAATGGGACGCCTACCCGGGTTTTAATGCTCCGGAACATGGTATGGATCATGATTTAAATCTTTTTGTTTTGTGCAATTTATTTGATTGTGGATGATCATTGTTGATAATGAGTTTGATGTAAGTGCTATTACTAGCAAATTGGTAGCTTATAGAGATATGGTAAATATACAAGGAGGAGTCAGTTTTTTCAAGATTAAGCTGGAGATGTTGATGGAAGGTTTAGGATGTTTATAATGATTGAATGGGGTTTGTGTGATATTTCTTATGTGGAATTTAGCACTTTAGATTGCTTAGCGGGGTTTATCTTGTTTGTATGAAGGCTAAAATAGATGATGGTAGTGAGAAGCCTCTTGGCTACCCAGACATGGCCACATTTGATAGATTTGGGCGAACAACCAAATATTAAGAACTTTAGATTGACTATTATATCTATATACAAGTATAATACTTTGAACTGAAACATATTAAGATTTTTCTCACTATATTTTTCTGGCATTCTCCATTATTCCTGTAAAGTTGGGTAGATATCAGATTTCAAGGTGCATCTGCTCCCTTTCTCTGTTTTCTATATATATTTTTCCTTAAAATTTGGAGTTGTGCACTTCTATTTTTGTTAATGGTTTCTGTACATGTAGGCTGATTTGGGATTAACATGATTTTTGTTGGATAACTAATTGTTGTTAGCTTAAGCTACCTTGATGCACTTGGACCTTTTGCTCAACTACTTCGTGGATGGTAGCATTTTTTGTGCAAATGGAGAGGCAGTTCTTATAGAAATTCTGGTGTACAGTGTATTTGGGCATAATCAAGTATCAATTTTTGAAGAGTACTAAGATGTACAATACTTTGCTTGCTAGTTAGTTAGTTATATGTTTGTTGAAGCATTCACTAAAGTGGGAAAATGTGAAATCATGTGTTGTGCACATATTGTTTCAAGCTAGATGATGTAGGAAGAATAGGATAAGTCTAAGGTTATGTTAGTCTTTGCTTTAATTATTATAGGGATTTACTGTCAAAGTATTTTAGAGTTTATTTCATTTATGTTCTTTAGATTTTTTATTATTATTATTTTTAGGACTATAATTCTATTCCTTAAGCCTATTAAAGGCTTCTATTGTTATTTCTGACATGACTAATTTATGATTGAATAAGAATATTGATTTTCTCTCCGTAGTGATTATCTTTTCCTCTTTTAATTCTTCTAGTTTTCTCCCCCTTTTATGTTCTCTTTAATCCATTCTTCTCTTACTCTCCCTATCTCTCTACTCTTAGTCTATTCCACCGTTTGGTTCTCTATAGCTAGATTTGGTTAGTTATTTGGTCCTTTATTTCTATCCAAAAAAAAAAAGTTATCCTTTGTTTTAAAACCATTTGTAAGTTCATGTATCAATTATTGGACATAAATTCAACGTTTTAGATTTTTTTGATAGGAAAAATTAAAGATACACTGACACATTTCATTCTGTTAATTTGTGTCAACGATAGCTTTGAGTTCAGGATCGAGGGAAGATTTTCCATTTTTTGGTGTTAGAACTGCTGAAGCTTATCAATTTAAAAAGTTTCATAATGACCTGTAAATAAACATTTTTGTTTTATTTTCATCCTTACAGTTATTTCCTAGCTGGGTTTAGACCATTACATTAATTGTTGATTCTTGATATTAGAGAGATGGAATGAATAGGAACAGAATTCGTTGTTGCATATGAAATGATGTGGCACTTAATTTCGTTTAAAGTCACAACTTTAAACAGTTGCACAGGTTCTTTAGCTCTTCCTTGATTTCTGGTGATACCTTTGGCTATGCTGGTTACTGAATTTTTCTACTGTTTCAATAACTGCTTCCTTCTCCTCTTAATGCATTACTCACTCTTCATGATCATCATATTATCTATGCTTTGCTTTATTAAACAAAGCTGTGCTGGTGTGGTGCTAGTAACTCCAGTTTCGGTATAATTATATTCTTGTCTTCTCCAAATAACATACTTTTAACCCTTATGTGTATTCCATATTATGTGAGAACTTAAATATTATCATTGGGCACCTTACCCATCAACTTAAGATTTTGGGTAAAATGGTTGTTTATCATGGTTTAAAACCATGTTGACCGAGTAGTCATATGTTCAAGACCCCTTATTGTCCATTAATTAAGTTATAATGACTTGTGTTGGTGTTTGTGTTTGTGATTGTATTTGTGGTTATGTTTGATTCACACGCATTTGCACATTAGAGGGCATGATTGAGCTTAATTTACCATTGTTGGCCCTTACCTACTAGTTTAAGGGTTTAGCTTAATTTACCATTGTTGGCCCTTACCTACTAGTTTAAGGGTTTATATATACATAGAGGGGCGGATCCAGCCCACTTTTGGCCCACCCTCAATTTTTTTTTCTTTTAAATACTAATATATATAATTTTTGGATTTTGACCCACCCTAACAAAAATATTAATATGTAATTAGTTTTTATTTTGGCCCACCCTAAAAAAATTTTCTGGATCCGCTACTGTTAATATATATATATATATTTTTTGTTTTTGTTTATGATTGGAAGGGCATAGTTGGATAAGGCGTAAAATGTTAAATGATTGAAGCTCATAGCCATTGCTATATTGAAACTACCCAATTAAATTGCTTTTGGGCTTTAAACTTAGCATAAGAAGTAAGTATAGTTACTGATATTTTGACTCACGTTTACAGATTTATTACTTTATAAGACTACAGTGTCAGTATTTTGTTGAATGATATTATTGATTCCATCTTTCTAGCTGAAATCCATTAGAGTTCTTCTGAATATATTATTTGTAGTCCTCTATTCTTTCATGCATGCAGCACTGCAAAATACCACGTAACTACATTAATTGTCTTAGAAGAATATAAAGTGCTTTCCTTTAGGTGCAGTCGGTGTTGATTTTTAATTCCTGTGTTGGTATATGGTCTCAGATTATGATTTTTTTTCTCCAGTATTATCTTTTCATTATGTTTCTCTAGAAATTTGGATGTCCTGTCATGAACCAATTTGTTGGAAAGTAAAGTAGCATTTATGAGGTTCATATGTTATCTTCATGCTTCGTGCTTGTGATGGCTTATTGAGAGAAAATGGAAACGAGAGTTCACTACTGAATGTTCTTTAATAGGTTGGTCCTGGTGAGGTAGACGACGAGCTAGAAGACGAGGTTGGATCTGAGTGTGCAAAGTATGGAACAGTTACCCGGGTTCTCATATTTGAAATCACAGAGCCAAATTTCCCAGTCGATGAGGCAGTGAGAATCTTTGTGCAATTTGAGAGATCAGAAGAGACAACAAAAGCATTAATCGACCTCGATGGTCGGTTTTTTGGTGGTAGAGTGGTGCGTGCATCATTTTATGACGAGGAGAGATTTGGTAAAAACGAGTTGGCTCCAATGCCAGGGGAGATTCCGGGTTTCACCTGAAGTAACAGAAAGTTGTGATTGCAATGCAAGGCGAATTTCCCTCAGGGTTTTGATGATAAAATTAATAGGACTAAGATATGGTCTTCATTTAAACAGATTGAGCAGGTTTGGCGCTGTTGTAAGTAGAGCATTAAGACCTGGAGTAGCCTTTTCTCTTTTAGGCAGTTGGTTAGAATTATGCTTTGTAACGATAACAGAATTATTGTGGCATGAGGGAATTGTTTGTTGTTACAATTACATGAACATCTGGGGCATTTTTTTTATCAACTTTGACCCAAGTTTAACTGTTAGCCTTCTCATCATCTATCTGTCGCTATTTTTATCCATCCAGAAGATTCAACTTGATAAAAACGACTGAGAAGAAGAGAGAATAATAATCATCCCATTACATACGCAAATAGCAAATGGGTACATTTCATCAATGCAGGTGTTTCAAATTAAAAAAACAAGCTCCTACTTTCCTAATTATCCTTTTAAAACTATATCTTAAACAGCAATAAAGCCAACAACGTGTTAACTATATATTTGATTAACTAAATGGGGTGGCCCAGAGGTGAGCCTGCAGGTGTGTTCTGGTTAGATGCTCTCAACTCCTGCAGGTAAAATTGCTGCTGCTGTGCCACCGGCAACCCCGCCGCGCCGCCACTGTACACGGTGGAAGAGTTTGAGTTGTTGGTAGACATGGAATGGGGACCAGTAGTATTAGGGATCCCAGACCCACACATGTAGAGTGCAAGTGGAATGTCACCAAACCCAACATTATTACCCGAAAAATTACCAGTAACGTTGCCGTTGTCATTGATCATGGGTTCTCCCATCGACACGTGGCGAGGAGATGTGGTGGTCGAACACTCTCCCCCTCCCCCTCCCCCTCCCCCTCCCCCGCCAATGACGACACTACCGCTAGTCGTGGGAGTTCCACCGCCACAGACAAAGCAGGGATTCACAGCCTTCATTCATATTAAAATAATAATAATAATAATAGTAAAGTTTTAAACTTTTTAACGAGACAATGAAGAAAATAAACTAGTTTTCATATCATTTTCATTCACATTCCATGGAACCAAATGGAGAAAAAGATCACTTACTGGTTTGGCTCGGTAGGTGGTGCCATCAGGCTCGACGACCCAACCGGCTTCTTTGGCTAATTCACGGAGGACTTCATTGATGTCAGCTCGAGGAGAGAGATGGTAGCCGCCCCATTTTCTCAATCCATGAAAGATTTTAGTAGTGATGGCTCTTCTTTGTCTTTCTCTCAACTTGGTCTTCTCTTTCTCACTCTCACTCCTCCCCCCTCCACTACTGTTTGATGGTTTTGTTGAAGATGATCTTCCCGCCGCCGCCGTTGCTGCCGGATCCTTCATATTTCTGTGTGTTGGGTTTGTGATTATTGGTGGTTGTTTGAGTCAGTGGTGTGTTTACCGTGTTGGTTTATATGTTTGTTCTGCATGAAACAGCCAAGGTTATGGGGTGAGATCTGTGTGTTAAGAGAAGTGTGAAAAATATCATATTACGCCCATTAGCTTTGAAATATGTCTTGTAAATCCCTTACTCTTAGTTAATTAAATGAAAATTGCAGCAGGTCACTAGAAATTTGTCAGAGGGGAAAACTGGGATTATGATCGAGTGCCCGGAATATAGAATATATTTAAAGTATAAAATAAAAACTAATTTTTATGACAAAAATAAATCTACAATTATATAATATTAATTATGTGTAGGAAGAAAAAACATAAAATAATTATTATCATAATTTTAAGAGACATTGAATTTTTTTTTTTAAAAGAAAAACAAATCTATCTTAATAAAAGTTGTATAATTAGAGACACAGAACAAAGAAGTTAATTTAAATGTTAAGTTTCAACATTTTACAAATATTGAAAAAGAAAAGTAAAAACTAATGGAAAATATATATAAAGAAAATATTTACTAATAATATTTAAGCGTTTATGTTTCGTCAAATTTTATTTAAATTGTACGTTTATGTTTAATAATTTTTTTTTTCCATATGTGAAATATAAAATAATAAGTTAAAAATAAAAGCTATAGCATATCAAAATAATGAAATATTCCTTATAATGTTTCATTATTTTGATATAGATATTATTGAAATTTTACCAGTGGTACTAAATGATTAACAAAAAGTAAATAAGAGGTTTATTGATATTTCTTAAACTCGAGCAGGGGTGTACAAAAAAAATAGTAAAACCATACAGAACTGTGAAACTGTATGGTTCAGTAGGGTTTTTTTTTAGGGTGAACGACTTGTACATACCCAAAGTTTATTGCAATGACAGTTGGTACCCAAAAGGTTTTGAAACGACAAATAGGTACCTTCCGTCATATTCTGTTAGTGATTTTTGTTTATTAATAGTGAAAAGACTAAAATGCCCTTCAAAGTTTCAANCAAATTTTATTTAAATTGTACGTTTATGTTTATATCAATAATTTTTTTTTCCATATATGAAATCTAAAATAAAAGTTATAGCATATCAAAATAATGAAATATTCCTTAAATTTCATAATATTTAATTATTTTGATATAGATATTATTGCAATTTTACCAGTGGTAATAATTTATTAACAAAAAGTAAATAAGAGGTTTATTGATATTTCTTAAACTCGAGCAGGGGTGTACAAAAAAAATTGTAAAACCATACTGAACTGTGAAACTGTATGGTTCAGTAGGGTTTTTTTTGTCAAAAAAAAAAAAAGAAACTTTACAATTGTCTTTTTTTAAAACCGTATGGTACAGTACACTTTTGAGTTTTTGGTGTACTTGAACTAAACGGTTTATTTTTCAGTCTTTCAATTTTTTTCAAAATACCCTTTGAAATTACCAAAAAAACCGTAAGTCATCATAAAACCCCTATAAAGTATAAAAAAAATCCTAAAAATATATTTAAAAAACCTATTAAAAAAAACCGATGAACCATGTCATACTCTACCAATTTTTTAGTTTCGGTACGGTTTGGTTCTTAAACTTATATGGTATGTTACATTTTTTATTTTTTTTAGTAAACGATATATTCACATAAGGTTTGACAAAATCTCAAGTTGGTACGCTAAGCTCCATTTATTTTAGATTCTCACTCTTAAAATAAGACTGTTAATAATTTTTAGGGTAATGAAGGTGTAATTATCATAATGCCTTTAACCTTAAATTAATAAATTATGTTTTAACCCCTAAATTATTAAAATTATTAATTAACCATCTTATTTTAAAATTATTTCAATTACACCCTCAGTGATTGCGCACAGTCTCGGTTTTCACCAGATATGGGTTGTTTTCGATGCTTGTGAACCCCCTGGTCACCTCCATCACCTTCCCCATCGTCTGTCATCTAAAACCCTTTTGGTTCCAGACTCATTAGGCCCTCCAATAGCCGACATCGTCAAGCTTAAGTTTTCGTTGTTCTTCACTAGATTTTGGTCGATTTCGGCAACAAAAATGCAATTGGACATCACCACTGCAACTAGCATCTCTAAATCTACGAAACCCCTATGTCCCCAACAACCTTCTAGTGGCCATTAGCCGATAGAGACCGACAAAAACCAGTTGCATGTGGCGGCTATTATGGCTGGTGATCAGCGAGTGATGAAGGGTTGTGAAGAGTATGGTTTTGTAGAGGGGAGGATGAGGGTTTGAATGATGGTGACAATGGTGATTTTGGGTGGAAAAATCATTAGAAAATGGCAAAAAACTTCGATGGTGATGTTGGCTAACGTACGCTAGAGCTTTGTTAGGGGCGATAATCTACTAATGTGCGCCTTCTGTACGAAATGACCAACTTATCTCTGAACCGTTATATCTAACCATTTTTTATTACTTTAAGGGTGTAAATCTGGAATAAATAGAACTTGAGATTTCATCAAACCTTGGGTGGGAATATGTCGTTTACTCTTTTTTTTTTTTTTTTTTTTTGGAGGTGGGGGGGTGGGAATTTTGCAGGCACGATATATTATGGTTGGGTTAAAAAGTAAAAAACCAAACCAAAATGTACCGCATTTTGACGCCCTAAACTTGAGGGGTAAAAATATTTTGTTAAAAGTGAGAGGGAGGGAAGGTTAGTGTCATTAAAGGGTTTAGATAAAGCGTGATGGGATTTGATTAAAATTTGATAGAGATGGTGGTACAATGGGCGGCTGGATGGCGGCCGTTGTGATGATGCCTCTGACAACACACAGCTGTATTAAACGCATGATCTTCAGCTTCACTTCTGCCTTTACTGAGTAAGGTTACACGGCTCCTAATTTCTAGCCCCAATCTATATGGTTGCCATCTGGCAACAACATTTTAATATAAATTGGGGTAATCGGTAATTCTAACTGGCTNTATATAACCTCCAAATTTTTTTTATGAGTACGTGGAGACGATGTACTCATAAAAAAAATAAGTTTCAATTCAAACCAATTATAAATAAGAATAAATTTTACATTGTAATAAGTTATAATTTTTCTTGGTCTCGTCTTAAGAAATTTGTCTTTACATAATAATAATAATAATTATATGTATATTGCAAAAAAAATATATGTTATGTTATATTAAAGATTTAAAATAAAATAAAATATTTATCTAAAATTATTTTGAACAATGATTTATGTTTTAGAGATATTACCATTGTTTTTACCTTACGGGTACATAACAAATCGCCAACATGGACACTTTCTTGTTAAAACTAAAATATTTCTAACTTTCAAACATGTTTTATTATTTATAGTTTTTTAGCATGAACTTTTAATATTTCAATACTATCATTCTCTTGACTATCTCTTTTTTCTTCTTGTCTATTTCCAGTAATGATTTTTTCTCCAATGAAAGTATACACGACTTGTTGTTCATTTGAAAAATTGAGAAAGACATTAATATCCATTTAATCAGTGTCCATTTGACTAGTATAGTGAAGTTGTCGAATTTGATCATTTAATTATACAATGACTCTTTAATATTCATTTCCGTACTATCATAATACTATTAAAATAATGAATTGAAATCTTAATACTATTTAAACATGAATTACTAAAACTTTATAAAATAAGAAATCAAAACAATAATTTTTGAATTAAAAAAATAATTCTTGTAACTATACCTCTATTAATTACACTTTTATTAAGGTATAACCTCTTAATAATAATAAATTAAGTTCAGCCCAACATTTTATATATATATATATATATATGTATATATATTTGTCAGTAATGAAACAAAATCTATGAGAATTTATTTTGATTCTCTTATTTTTGTTAGCTTAAAGCATAAGCACATATGCATTTTTAGCCGTGATAAAAAGTGAAGCTTTATGAAGTCAAATTTTACAATATTCCATATTTTGCCCTCAATATCTCAAGGGTACCACCTGTCCAGTGCATCTGAATTAATTCACACCCAAGATTATCTCCAGAACATTATAAATAGGAGTTCGACCCCATACCCGGGATTACATCTTTTTATTACAAAAGCAAATTCTATTGTAAACACATTAATAAAATAACCGTGGACGTAGGAATTGGTTTTGCTTCCGAACCACTTTAAAAATCGTTCTTGTTATTTTCCATTTTCTTTTACTTATTTATTGCTTTATATTTCATTTGCTCCACCATAAACCTCACTGAACCCATTGGTTCAGATCATACTTGCCATTTCAGGGTCTTTGTAGACCTTTGCGCGAATTCCTAAAGCTTGCGTAAATCTCGTTGGTTGAAAAACTGCATCAACGTATATTTATCTAAAATGGAACCAAATATATCAGTGTAGCCATCATTAACACAGAATTTTAGCAAAATGGGACGTTATACAAATGGATCCAGTATTTTCTAACATATATAGTTAGGTTCCTTCTTTACTTATATAATGTTGTTCCATAGAGTTCTTTATGTTATATACATTGTTAATACAAAATTGTAGCATGATGAGATGTTTATATGCATGGATTTGGTGTTTGTCCTCTGGTAAATGCTTTCCTATTTCTCGCATGGTGGTCCACTGTCTTCTCAATGAAGTTGGGACTTGAAGTTCCAAGAGTTTAAATGATATAGAGCCAGAGGTTGTGGTTATATTCTGTGATATTGTAAGGTGCTTCTTTACTATATAAGTTGGGAGGACAAAAGCGTGGGGACTCTGGAATTTAGGAACATCTTTTATCAAGTCTTTTTTTCCTGGCTGAGTCATGATACAAATATACTCTCTTTAAGCTGTCAAGAAGAGTTGGAAGGCTAGAGTTCCTTGCAATGTGAAAATTCATCATAGACCATTGCACAAGGGAAGGTTAAAAAGAGGCTGAAAGAGGCTGCAGATGTCCTTTTGTGGTTGATCGGGAATGAGGCAAATAGATCTACAGGAATTTGATATGCTAGTGGGGAAGAAGTCTGGGTGCTGTGGTATTGTCATATTTTAGGCTTCTTTTGGGTTTCTGTTTTCTGGAGTAC